GCAATAAATGCAGGCACCTGGTACATAATAACCACAATAATAGGTTGGAATGTTCTTAAATATGAATCATAATCACCTGGAATATTGGTACACACAGACTCTTGGGCCTGACCAACAAAATGTCTGATTCACTAAGTGGGTTTTGGAATGAGAATGTGCATCTGTAATGAGTACTGAAATGACTCTGTTAGTGAAGTTCCAGGAATCCAATTCAGAAACCAGGAGGCAGCCTGGTTCCAGGATCCAGTCAATAACTATGGAGATAGGCAGATTTCCAGAGGCAGAGCCAAGATTTTTCATCCACATTCCCTGAGTGTCTCTGCAGGGAGCAAATCAGGCTAATGGCTAATTGGGCTGGAATCCCAGGCCTTGAACTGCTGAGGCTCCACGGTACTCACACAGAACTCACAGGGCTCCCCCGTACCAAACCTGCCTAACTACCTGCTTCTTTTGCCTGGAACTTTTTTCTCAATAGCCCACTTGTTAAAGAGGTCTCCCTTACTGCACTATGTCATATACATCCCGTACTCTAATACCATTCACCTTTTCTTCTTTCCACTTTGCTTTCCACATTCTAACATACTATATAATTTAGTGTATCTTCCTTCATGTTTCTTGTCTGTCTTCCTTGAATATAATATTAGTCCTATAGACAGGGGTCTCTGTCTCTTAGGTGACCCAGTGACAATAAGTGCCTGAAGCCAAATATTTGCTCAATGATCTTGTGGTAGCACAGTGAATAAATATGACACCTCAGCTCCCCTGTATATTTTTACAATTCTGGCTACTCTAAATGTCCACTTTAGCTATCCAACCACGTTCGTACCATTCAATGATTTCAAAAATGAAGAATCACATCATGGAGACAAAACTGTCAGAGTGACCATTCTTGTCACGTGCTCAGCTAATCCTATCTCTTCTCAGATATTTCCATTAACAGTTCTATGAGATCTTCACTTTTTTACTCTCTTATGGTATTTCCCCAGACTCATTTCTGCCACCATTTTTTAATCACTACATAGTCATTATTAACAACTTTCTACAATTTACATTTTACAATCGTTTTTCTTTTTTTTTTTTTTGTCTTTTGACTTTTTCCGTGTCCGGCAACGGATCGCAACCCTCAGTGTTGCCCCCGTACCGGACCGGGGACCGGCAACGGGATTG